ATTCTAGTCACCTCATCAAAATTTTGAAGTTTTAATTCTTGGCCTTTAAATTTTTAAAAATTTTAGTTAGTGCATTAAAATTATACATAAAATAAAATTTATTGTGATACAGTTAAGTATGAACATAGCATAATTTTGTCAATTTTATTCCTCAGTTTCTTCCATTTCCAACCTTTTAAGAAGTGACTTGAGAGAAAATATAGTAACATATACATTATAATCAGAAACTTACAATAAAATAATAAGCATATAAATACAATAAAATGTTAGTTTATATTACCATCAAATTATAATACATATTCACTATAAAATCTGGAAATGATGAAACTCTTTTAAAAACCTGTAAATTACTCATAATCTTACAATTCAGAGATAACCACTGCTAATATTTGGACATAGTCCCTTCTAATATGTTTCAAGAAATTTTTATAATATCTAAGTAAAATTGATGACAATAGATATATTTGTAATTTAAATGAACAATAAATATATCATGAGCATTTTCATACCATTAAATCATCTTCTAAATCTTACTACTGAATGTTCAGTATGTGTTTCATTTTCATCTGAATGTTCAAACTTTAATATTTTAGTTACAAAAGTAATACATGTACATAATAATTTTTAAAAATCTTGATGAACAAAAGAAGGAAATACTGATTGCCCACAGTTTTTCCATTATAGTCATAAATCATATTAATATCATGGCACAAATGCATTGTTGGGTAAATATAGGCATTGCTATCTTCCACTGACCTGGGCTTATTTATTTATTTATTTTTATAACCCTAGCATTTAGTTTCGTGCCAAGAGTCTGGTGACTGTTTAACTTTTAGTGAATGAATGAACGCATGAATGACTGAATGAACATTTAAATGAAGGGGAAGAACAAATGTTGTAAGTTAAGAGACTGCAAAATCTAGCTTGTGGGAGAATAAAAATACATTTCAGACTCAGCAACTTGCTATAGATTGAGAGACAAGGTAGCTAACCCAAGGCCCTTAATGAATTGTAGCTTGCTCTTTCTGTTCGTCTGAATCAGCCTCTAGGCAGAGAATTCAATTTAATTTTTTCCCCATCAGTCAAACCGAAGAGCTGAAAAAGCAAAACCAAAGACAAGGGAGGCAGCAGGTGGAACAGGCTTGTATGAGATCAGCACCATCCTTTCTGTGTTGGGAAGAGCCTAGGATGAGAGGATCTACGCTTCCCCCAGGGGTGGGCCCAGGAAGCACCCTCCCTGGTGGAAGGACTGATCGCTTTCCTAGAGGACAGGGACCCCAACAGTGTTTTGTGACCCTCATGGTTTTGGCCTGTTTGAAGCAGAAGAAGATGCAATCCTGTTGGGTTTTATTTGAAGGAATTTGGGGGCATCGACTTGCTACGTTTTAAATCAGGGTTGACAGAGAGATCTTTTGAGTTATAGGAGGTTCCAAAGTTTCTTCTACATGAATTGGAAAACATGTGCCTTAAGTTTGAGCATCTGTCTCTCAGACACCTGCCATGGGAAGGAGAGGGAACCATTTCTTTAAACTCTACATGGATAACTCAGTCCTTGCAATTAAATGTATGGCTGTATTCTTCCAAGTGGGATGATATGGTCCTTGCAAAGTCTCTCTTTCCTCTCCCCGCCAGTGTAAATATACATGTAAGTATATATAGACAGACATCCACAAATAGATACATAGATAGATGGACAGGTGGTCAGTCTCTTCCTCCTTTGACCAGCAATAGTCGTCATATCCCAGCTTCCTCCTAGGCGCTCTCCCAGCATCCAAGCTCAAGACATTGGCCACATTGTCACCTTTGCTCTTACTGCGTTTTCCACCCAGTAAGTCTCCACACACCTTCTCTCCTATCCACACCACCTAGCTCTAAGGGCTTTGCTCAAGACATATTTCTCAGGAAACCTTATTGTTCTATTTCTACCCATCAGTCTTTCCAGAATATCAACTTTTACTCTGTTGCCCCCTTGATGTGGCTTCTCTGTATGTGTATCTGAAGGTCAGGGAAAAGTTACACTGGTCTCTTTCTAAAAAACTAGATGTGAAGCACAGAAAGACAAATCGAACATGACTCACATGTATGTGAGATCTAGAAAAAGTGAACCTCATAGAAGTTAAGAGTAGATGATTGGGTTTGGGGTCTGAAGAATATAGTTTAGGGTTGAAAGAATTGGAAAAAGGGAGATGTTAATCATACAGTACAATGTTTCAGTTATACAGGAAGAATAAGCCCTGTGTTCCATTTCACAGAATGGTTAACTATAATAAATTCATCATATATTTCAAAATTTCTAAAAGAATAGACAAGTATTTCACCACATACAAAAAGATAAGTTATGTGAGGTGATGGATTTGTTAATGAACATGATTTAGTCATTCCAAAATATATTCCGAAGCATATGTCAAGACATCACATTATACTTCATAAATATAATATCTAGTTATTATTTTTCATTTTAAAATAATTAGAAGTGGTCTTGTACGTACATAACTTATTGGGTTTAGAGCCAGTATTGCCTTATTCACTAAGTTGGTAAATAAAGAAAGGGACTTGGAGACAATTGGGGGATAGTTTTGTCTGTTTTCCTCATGTTCAGAGTTGGACACACATAGAAGTTAGTCTTATTTATGAAAGTGAGAACCCAGTTTGCATAGATAGTTTGAGACTTTATGTGTTTATGTGTGATGGTAGAGTTTATGTGTGATGGTAGAAACTTGTGATTGGCATCCTGATTTTGCAGATAGTTCCTATTGACACTTTTCAGCACCAATAGTTGATGCCTTCAAATGCAAATACTAATTTATGTGTACACTTCACTATCTTATAGGCTATATTGAAGACTGAAAGAAATGGTTCAAATTGATTCTCTCTCTCTCTCCCTTTCTCTCTCTCCTCACATGTACATGCATGTAAATGCATAACTTACTAACTTTCTGTATATGATTGTGTATCTATATACCTATCTATATAAATGTCACTTACTATACAAAGAGATGATTTTTCATGCTGCCAGAATTTTAAAAATTGCTGGATTAAATTGAAATGCATCAAAGTTTATGCAAGCTCTGTAAAACTTTGAGATTTTCAGAAGGTCATACAGAAAAGGATTTTTCTCTGAATTGTAAGGTTGGAACTTTTATGACTTAGAACTTCACAAATGGTGATGTTCGGGAGAGCACAGCCCTACAGTTAAGAGATACTGGGAAGGTTATTTCAGGACTATACTTTACCTGCCCTCTTTCTATAAACTTAAGCACCCTTTATTTCTGGCTTCGTTTATTTCACAACCTGTAAACGTTTGTGGAAAAGAAACGTAAACATGGGGGGATTATCATGATATGCTAGCACCAGTTCCATGGAAGGAGACTTGAACCAAGCATCAGAAAACCGAAATCCTAGTTCCTTTGGTCAAAACTTAACTTCTCCAAAACTGAGTTTCATGAAATAGGAGGTGGGTGTGCTCACCTGTTATATGCCAACCACTGATACACAAAGGTGAATCAGGCATGGATCAACTCTGCCTACAAAGATCAGAGGTTGCTTAAGGGCATGTGTTTAAGTTAGTAATGGCCACCCTACTTTCCTTTCTGGATTATTGTAAGTTTCAAATGTATGTGAATAAGCCACAAGTCAGAATAATAATAATTATTATTATTTTTATAGTAATAAATTATTATTATATATTATAAAATAATACTAACAATTATTATTATTAATAATAATTGTTAATATTATTTTATTAAATTAATTATATAATTATTAATAATTAATAATATAATTATTATTAATTATATTAATTAATAATATATTATTATATATTATATAATATATATTAATTAATTGATAATATAATTATTATTATTATTATTATTTAATTGTAGTTTGATTCAGATATTATACTTCAGTTCACTTATGTAAATGAAAGAAATCCCTTCTTAGTCTCTTACAAGTTGTTGTCCTGTCCTGGATATAAAGGGGTTAGAATCTACCTCCTTAAAATAAGTGAACATGGATTCAGACTCCATCAGTTATCCAGAAGGTTCTCTTTAATTTTCCCAGAGTCCGAGGTATTCTCTGGAATTTTTTCTCATCCCATGAGTTGCGATCCATCCTGACCTGTTTATTTTTAATTACAGATATTTATGAGACAGATATTTCATGAACGCGTTGTATGTATTCAAGGAATGTAGACACAACTAAACAACAGACAAATTTGAAAGACATCCTCATATATCACACCATGTTCAGTGCTCGGTAGAATCAAAAGATGAGAAAGATGAGAGATGAGTGGGCTGGAGTGCTTAGAAAATGCTTTTTGTGAAGGCCAGATTTGCGCTCGCTTTCATGGGTGGGTAAATTTTATTTAAACATAAGGGTGGCCTATCCTTGCTGTCTTGCAAAGATGTGGGAGTATAAATGAGCCTGATGTCTCTGGTGGCATTGAGGCATTCCATTTTGCATCATCCATAGCAAAGCAGTAATAGAAAACAGTGAAAGAGCACAACATTTTGCATTTAATATTGGCTCAGATATTAGCTAGTGAACATTTTTACACATATGTTCTGCTTTTCCTGGGAGTAAGGAATCTGACTTTTCTTTATCTTCATGTCCCTCAGAGTATCTTGTGTGTAGGAGTTGTTCAGTAAATTGCTTTTTAGTAAATGTTGCTGGATTGTTTGAAGTGTAACTAGAGACTACATGGAGTTTGAAGAAAAAAAGACATAATTTTATGAAGGGATTTATCCCTAAAACAGGCAGTGATGGCCATTGGAAGTGGATTTATACCCAGCTCAGAAACACTAGTTGATCTGGCATCTTCTTTGCTAAGATAGCCAAACATGGCTGCATTTTTAGTTGGTCATATTCTGGGGTTTTAGTTGGGTACAGTGGATGCTAGCTTGGGTGTTAGCACTTTGGTGTTGGGATGGTCCGGGGAGGACACCTGTGTTCCTGTTTAACAGTGGTGCTTACCTTCTCCTCATTTCATTGTTTTGCAGCTCTACAGCTCCATGGACTTTGGAAGACGGTGGCAGCTCATGCATGAGCGCATCACACCCAACAGGTTTTACTGGTAAGCCACTTCCCCACACGCGTCACACTCTTGGTAAAGAACTATGAGAGAGCAGAGTACTGTGGGTAGCCCTGGACACCTTTAGCACTTGAAATCAAATGTGTTCTAGCCCTTTGGTACTCAAAGAGGAATTCATGGATCAGCAGCAACAGCATCACTGGGGAACTTGTTAGAAGTGCAGAATCACAGGCTGCATTGAGATTTGTGGAACTGAAATCGGCATTTAATATGATCCCTTGAGGATTCTTGTGCCCATGAAAATTTGAGAAGTTCTAGATTAGAAAAGGGTCAAGATCGGGTGCTGTTAGGGACATTCTAAGCTCCCTTCTTTTTCAAAAAGCATATATTTTATGTACCTATTCTTAAAATAACCAGTATTTCCCCAAATGTACATTGAAGAATAGTAATCATACTAAAGTCTTCTCCTTTCATAGGAGATTTTGTGGTCAATTAAATTTAGGTCATGATTACCCAGGTCTACATTCCTGGAGACTCACAATTCATATTAGGATATTAAAGACACTGGAGGAGCATGAGGAAAGAAGCCTGCCAACCTGGCATCACGGATTCTTGAATTCATTGCATACAATCCTGCCCTCCCGTCACACCTGATAATTCCTCAGAACTACCTCCATGGTGCAGCATTTGAAAACACATTTTTATAAGTGTGACTCCATGTTTCCAATGAAAAATTAGCCCTTCCTCTTAATCAGAAAGTGTTTTCATTAATAGGTGCATCAATTCTTAGGTGCCTACGATTGCTTTTTACCTTGGTTATAACAAGTTCACTATAAATTTGTCTTGTGCAAATCCTTGCTCTACTGTGAAAATGCTTCTCACCTGTATCTTGCTTTCATTTCAGCAGAAAAAGGAACAGACAAAGGGATAGGATAAATCACAGACCAAAGTATCTACTATACTTAATTATACATTTAATTCAAACCCAAAATTTACCATGTCTGAAAGTAACACCTATTAATGCATTTTTCAAACAGCTTATTTATATTCCCTTAAAAAAATCACACAATAGCTATTTATGCCTTGCACAACATAGGGCTGTTATGTGTGTATGCTGGGGGACAATGGTGACAAGTATCTTGTGTACATATACATTCACCCTCACATCTTTGGAAGCAGTGGTTTCACCTGGTCCCCTCTGCATCCACAGAAGTATGTCCATAATTATAAATGGTGATTGCCTATGCCTACTGTAAAAATCAACTGTTTTATAGTACACAGTTCAGAGTGCCTGGAAGAGAAAGAGAATCTGGGAGTATTGCTCTCCACTCAACACCTGGTCTATTCTCAGTACTTTTGTTCCTATGGGCCAACTATTATTTTATCTATAACTCTTATTATAGCTATTATTTGGTCCATGTTTGGTACTCCAGATTTTTCAATAGACTAAGGCAGAATAAGGTAATATTTGTTTTTCTGATATACCAGACAACTAACTATAGCCTTTGCTCAGCTGAGATGGACCAATTTCTCATTGTGCCATTCTCAGTGTGCTCAAAATTCCCTCCAAATAGAGGAAAAGGGCTTCTGCTGTTTCTGGAACAAACTCTTCTGATGATAAGGCAGTCGGCCAACTCGGGAGTCAAGTTGATGGAGAAGGAAAGCACAGTAGACTGCATGAGCCTTGTCATCATTTCTAAAGGAAATTAGATTAAGTGGATGAAGGGCTGCATTTTCCTATCTTTTGCAAAGAACAAGATGAGAATGCTGCAGCTGTTGCCCCCTGCCCCACCCCCTTTGTGTAGCAGGAAGAATAAATCCCCAGGTCCTGATAATTGTATTTCATCTCTCCTCCACTCTGTGATTCTTTCATATATGCCCCATGGGGAAATATAAAAGTTAGTGCCCGTGCTGGCTAGCCAAGGGGTAGCTGAACATCCCATTTTTGTAATTATCACTTCTCTCTTTCTGATGTATAATTGCTGAGATTATTCTTTTAGGTGTCATAGGAGTCACAGAGGAAGAACTTATTTTATGTAATCTGTTTGTTTTTTTTTCCCCAAAGACAGAATCCAGGGTTGTCTAAAGTTCTAAACCATTTATGCAGTGAAGACATGGTGCTGTACATTAGGGATATGTTTTATATCACCTTAAGAAAAGACAAAATGTCCATCTATCTGAGGGTAGAGCAAAGTTCAGCTTCAGTGGAACTTATTTAACCTATGTTTTCCTCATTCTGTAATGGGAATAATGCTTTTCCATCAATTGCATAAGGTTTTTGACAGAATCAGATGTGATCAATTGGAGACTTGGCAATTTCACTTCTCTACTTTAGACTTACAATCTGTAAATTATAGGTCTTTAAGTATGCTGTACTGAAGTACTTGAAGTACTTGAAGTACTATGTTGATTAGCAATCCTTAAGAACATAACTTAAAATTAATCTTTTTCTGGGCCACAAATGTGAATGGCATTCACATGGTTGGGCAATGTGCCTGTGGACCCCTGATAACTTCTGAATGGGTCTAATTTATTGTCAAGAATCTACACCTCACCCTAACGTTGTTCTCTAATCTCTTGTCTGTTGTGGTAATTGCTGTAATATACAATGTAATGGAAATACATTGGGAATAGAGAGGTGCTATCATCATTATCATTATCATTATTTTTTTTCACTTTTTGTTTGTGCCCCAGAGTGCTTATGGGGTAGGCAGGGTGTGGGGTATGGTATCCATCAACATCAGTAATAAAAGCTTCATCTGTAGAAAATATTTTGTTTTTATGAATTCTAACCGTTCTAACACCATCCAGAGGTCACCTAGGACTCTTTCACCCTGAAATGACTCAGCCATCAATCTCATGTCTCAGGAAAAGGGACAGCTGACCTAAAAGTTCCTAGTTTATGTGTGATCCTTCCACACACCTGGTACTGGGTTAGCACGTACTCCCATTCATTACCCCAATTGCTTCAGAAGTAAGAATTTGTAGGGAGAGCATGTGAGTAGAATAAATATCCTAACATTTCCCCTTCACTCTTGCTATACTTTGCTTGGGTAGAGTGGTAGTCATGGGGAGGGGTATTCTGTTCTCCCCCCATCTTTATAATCCTACTGAGCTGCAAATGAATAATATTCCCACCTTTCCCTTGGAAGATCTTTACCAGGCAGGCACACTCTGCAAGTGGAGAGTGTTTTCTCTGCACATCCAATCTGAACAATTGTGGCTCACAGCTTTACCCCTATTGTCCTGCACTCTTCCCAGGTGTTTGCCCTCTTTGGGAATTCTTTTCAATTACATCACAGAGAGATCAGGTCTTCTTGAAGTCCCTATAAAACTGGAATTTCCTCCTAGTGCCTCTGATTTCTAATGGCATTCATTACTATAGAATTGTGAAATGGGAAAAAGAATATCTCAAGTGTTCTCTTTTGCAAAGATAGTTATTTTCAATCTCTTCTTAATTATTCTCTCTACTGAAAGGGGAGGAGATCCTTCTTATCATTATTACAAGAAAGTGTTTTGATAAAGTAATATCCCCTCTGATGTCAGGAACTTCAATTTTTACCCCCCTTACCTAATTTCTGGGGCACTTGGATTGCAACATGGATAGTCTTGAGAGTTAGAAACCCTCTAAAATGTCAAGGGGTGTAGAAGTTCCAGATCTGACATGTTAGAAGATGTAGGACAAGGGTGTCTTGAAGACTGCTCTTTGATCTGCTCTGAGGCTATATCACTACTATAGAGTGGCTGATGTGTAGTGACATTCAGAATGGGCTCTCGGTCTCTGTTGTACTTTTCTCAAGGCCAGCCTGCAGAATTGTAGATTTCTAGTGGTGGTTGGATCAACAGCTTCTAATCTGCTCTTTAAGAAAGGCTACAGAGTCAATGGTAAGAACAGAAAGGCAAAGTGTGTCCATCTTGGTGTGTGTAGACAGGAGGTCCTGGAAAAAGTCCTTTAACAGAGAAAGGGGTGGCCTGGAATAAAAGTATATAGCAGAAGTCTTATCTTACATTGTTTTTATTTTCCAAGTCTCCTTTTTATGTGCATAATACTATTACATGTGAACTTGTACAATCTGCCTTTCCCCTCTTAATCTTCTATTACAGTGATTTTATGTCCTTATAAAATCTTTATAATCATCACTTTTAATTATCCGTGCAACATTTCATGATGCAAAGATACATCCTTTATTACTCTGGCTTATTTTTATTGGACACTGAAAATTCTCAGTTTTCATTATCATAAGTAATGGTTTCATGGATATTTTTATGCATAGTTCTTTCTTATCTAGAATTGCTTTCTTGGGCCACTCTCCTAGGTAGCCCAAATAAAAACTTGATTGTGTTTTTCCTAGCATCAGCAGAGTATTAGATTCCATTGGTGCGGTCTCTACATTCAACACTGAAAGAATTTCTGAGTAATGTAGTTTTTACTGAATATTTTCTTCAGGGAGTTGCAAAAAAACATGCTATCACACAATTCATGACTCTTCCTGAAACTCCTCCATCCACATCTATCTCTTCTATGTCCTATTGTCATTAAGAGTTACCTTCTCACCATTTTTCATGGGCTCTAACACAATTTTGTTATAGGGTTTTATTGTCTACTGTCTATTCCCTTCCAGAGTTCCTAGTACACCTATGTCCTTTCCCTCAAGTATCATAGCTTTTTAAATATAGAACCACCTTCCATCTCTCCTTTACTCCCCATTTATCACACTCACCCATCCCCAGAAAATCAATATAATATTCCTTATATGCATATTCCTTGGGATATAGGGGGTGAGATATTGGTAATAGAGTTTAATATTCCTGGTTTAATTATGACTAGAAGAGAAGTTGTTACATCAAAAATTGTACATTTGAAGTATCTTAAAATCTGTCACAGAAATCACCTGTTATTGTCTCTTCCAATCTATAGTATATGACAGTACCAGCCCTTTTATACTTAATATACAGTTTCTTCTTGTGGTAGAAAGTCTTCAAAATGGCCTCCAATGATGTCTACCTTCTGGAAATGATGACATTCTATAGTCCCCTTTTCC